AAGGAGCTAAAAAAGGACATATGGTAGAACAGGGACTAATAGGTTATAGTTAGACAAACTCAATAAAAACAAAACAAAAAACTCCAACTTGTTCCATTCTTCTTGGTTAACAAGTCTTTCATAGCATACATGAACATTCAAATATTTTAGCTTGACACCATCAAAATAATTTCTTTTATAAAGCTATATATGCTACACATGAACGGAAATACTTGCCCAAATTGTATATGTGAATTGTAGCAATTAGCCTCTCTTTGTATTTAAACTTTGAGGTTGAATAGTTTGCACTTAAAAATACGAACTAGCCTTTTGAAGATATGCTTCTGGCAGGTCTTTTTATAAGCTCCTCTTACAGATAGTCAAGCAGACATTGTCAAGCAATTTGTTTCATCTGTAAAATACATGCCTGAAATCTTCACAACCAAATAAATTAGTGTTAAAGTATCCTTTAAAGAGCCTTATTGACGTAATTGAATAGAGATGTATAACTAGCATTGATGCTGTCACTTGTATATGTATGCTGTGATGTTTTATTGAAGAAGCAGAAGGAGTATATGACGTCTTGTGTGAAAACATGATTGCCAGGTAAGACTTACTGTGCTTTGAAGAGACACATTTATATTACAGATAGGGAGCTGGATAAAGCGTTCAGTGGTCAAACAAAGCAGAAAAGCTTGTAGCAGCAGCTGTCCCACAAAGGTGCTGAAAAGATGGGAAAAAAGAATAAGAAGATTTTTTTTTAAAGAAAAAAATAAAGACAAACGTCGCGCTTCCAGTTACTTAAAATTTATTTTAAATTAGGTGAGGCAGCCTAGGGAGTGGGAGCTTCACTGGGTAGAGTCATAGATTTTCTATAAGAAATATGGCCTTGCCTTAAAGTGCTTGTACTGTAGCTCATGCTTCTACCAAACTATTGAGAGCTGAAGAATTTTAATTGATTTAAGAGAGCTGTCCACGCTTTTAGATTAATCTATGGTCCTATTCTGTACATTGGGCTAGAGCTTTCAAAACACTTAGGAAAGTACAGAAGCTTTAGCAATGGTAGTTGAAATGCATTTTTTTAACTTCTTATGCTCATGGATATCAAATTACAACTCTGCAGCATCAACAGCGAGGGGACACTTCAGTGGCATCCCAGCAGTAGTGCCACAGAACGGAACGGAACGGAAGGACATCCGCGGCAGCACTAGTTCAGCTGCGGGCGGCTAAGCTTCAACAGCGAGATTGCTCTTTAGTGAGCGGGAGTGGTGATCACAGAGGAATGACTCTCAGGTGCTCTGATACTGCCCAGAGAAAAGCCTTTCGAGAAGTTTTTGGAGCTGTGTAGGGAGAATCACCTGCTTGACTTTTGCAGCCCATCTCCTTGGTTTGGGGAATGGTTCTGCGTTAATATCTCTGTCTCCTATTAATGTGACAGTAAAGCTTGGATAATTCTCCCATCTGCCGTCAGTTGTACTTTTGTAATTAGTCGGATAAATCACTAATGTTTTAAGGAATATATTATAATATTAGCTGTTTAAATATCCTTCCAGACTATGCTTTAAGAAAGATAAGTTTACAGCAATTTAGTAAGATAGCTGCAATGAGGGAGTAAATTTATGTTGTCCTGTACTAATGTCGTTCCATGGTGAGCAGCTTGTACTTGAGAAATAGAAAACAAAATCTAGTATTATAAATAGAATTTAGTGATGATGACAACAGTTACAATGATGATAATTTTATTAAAAGGTGATGTGTAGAAAGTGGTCAAACTTTCCCTAAGTTTTGCAGTCATGTTGAAAAGGAGTCAGTTGACACTGTGATATTTAATTATTTTCGTTATGCTCTCTCACTAAGTAAAACTATCCTTTTGAAAACAGTCTCATTGTTCTAGATTATAAGCATTTAACAGAAACGAGTTTGAGTGCTACTACTGTTACTGTTACACTGCAATCTGGAGTTTTTACATGGGCAAAATTCCATGTCCTAGTAAGGACTTAAGGGCCACCTCAGCATGGGACACCTAGTGTTAGTTAATTCCATACTCCTAAACATTGAGGCCATTTCCCAGAAGCTGTGATCAAATCTAAAGGCATTTTGTTAAAAACAGCTTGGATCCTAGTTAATTTTTATGGTTATTCACAATCTTAACCAAACAGCTAAATCTTAAACTAGGTATTTGTCTTTGTGTATCATTTTAGAGACATTAATTGGTTGTTATTCTGGGGTACAGTTAAGATTCCTTGCATGTTTCTGTGTGGCTGCTTTTGTGTTTTTTTTTAATAAGACAGAGCTGGAGGAGACAGTGATTTTTCTAGGGTTAATGTTTAAATCTTCACTGAAAGCTTCTCCCAAATTCTTGCTTTATTTTCAAATGTGCTGGATCAAAATGTGTGCCCTCCCAGTGAAAATATTTGTGGAAATTTAGTTGCACACAGTAATATTAAACCCAGTATATTTATAAGAAAGGCTGTTGAAACAAATTGCTTGCAATTATGAATTACTAAGAAGCATTGTAAGGAATATAACAATTTTCAGATTACCACTATGCATATTATTTAGAAGTTTGGATTCCTCTTTTTGTTTAGAGCATGTCTGTGCGTCCCCTTTCAAATGCCCTCGTCATGTATTATTCCAAGTGCATGCAAGTAACTGCTGCTCATACAAAATGCTGTAGCTCAGCTGCCTCCTGAGGTAAGACATGGGGAACATGTGACATGAATTTGTCTTTCCTAATAAATACAGGGTTTGGTTTCTCACTGCTGTGCTGATGTTTGAAAAGCACGGCTCACCTATCCGTGGGAATGCTTGTCCTTCCAGGATGCCTCACTTTGCTGGGGTCATGAAGCAGTTTTGTCAGAAGAGCTTTTCTTGTAATTCATCTGCCTGACACAAGACACTCCTTGCCAGCTGAGTGGAAATGAGCCCTGCTCTCACATTCTTCTGAACTAGATGGAAACTCTGGCTACTGAGCCTCAGCAACTCTCAGGAAGAAAAACCTACAGTCTAGCCCCCAAATCTTGTCCTTTTAACAGGACCTGAAGTTGAAGAGATTTCTGTACTCACGTTTCAGAAAGCACTGAGAGAAGTGTTAAGTTTACACAACCTGATGCAGGTTGTATACTGACCACATTTGCTTTATACCTGTTTGACTGCATCAGACAATTAAAACCAGTAAACTTTTGAGATCCTACAATCAATTCTATGCGAATGAACTGATGGATTTGAACGAAGTAAGCTATGAGCAGTTATATGAATCAAGTGGTCTCAGACACAGTTTTTCTGGGAAAAGGGGATCTTCTGAGGATGATCTCCCTTTTTCTTCTTATCATGTTTTGCTGTTAATTTTGAGAGTCCATAAATTAAGGGACTTGGTGTTCCAAATGCTATCGTAGTTTGGGTAGGGATCTTGTATAAATGGGTTTAAAATGTATTTGCAAGGTGCACCTCCTAATCTTCTTAAAAGGATTTTGACAAGAGAGGTAACGCTTAGTAGTACCTGTCAGCTACTGCACAGTCAAAAAAAAAAAAAGGAAATGGGTGAAAATATTACTTGAAATATTGCAGATGGGTTGTTTGAAGTGGTAAGAGGATATCACTGTGATGTAGAAGCAACCGTATACACCAGAGTTATTCTCATCTGTAGTTAGTAAGGGTAAGTTGGAGTATAAATGAGGATAAAGCTTTAATCCCTCCTAGACTTAATTTAATAAGAAAGATGAGAGACAGAGATTCAGTGTGAGTAGGGTCTGGGCTTCTTTCCCGAGACAAAGATTTGGATCCCTTAAGTGTTTGATTTGAAAGAGGAGTCTAAAAATAAAAAAATCCTTTGGAAGGTGTGGTTACACTGTGGGTGTAACAGTAAGATTAAAGATGTGTATTGTGAAATTAGTCTTTGTTCTTTGTAAGCTATCTGACTTCTGTTCATTTAGAAGCTCATCCACTGGCTGGAAGAAAATTTTTGTCAGTAAAATTAACTGGCAGCATTTGAGTGAGTGATAGGTCTAATGATCACTGACAGTTGTCTATCGTTCTGGTACCCCTTTATACATAAGTGGTTTCTGCATCTGATTCAACATGATCTCCTAGAAACGTTCCGTCTTTCTTTCTGTGCATAGTGGTAGGCATTTAATCTCTTTTATAAAAGACTCTTTCTAATGCAGTCAGCTAGTGCATGGCTTACCTGCTGATTCATAACATTTGATAATCACATTTAAAACATGTTACAGAGCTAATTCACTTTGGTTTCATAAATATGTAGTAAATTTCTGAACCTACTGAACTGCTGGTCTGCATACTACTTTGTTGGAGGGAGTTGTACAATCTTATTTTTCTTGAAATCTTGTTTTTTTTGAAGGTGTTACTGTCAAAGTTTTTAAATATTTTAAACATTTGGATTAAAACTCTACCCTCACCGATGAAGAGTTAAGACTCCTGCTTGCCTATTTAATTTGTCTAACATAAAGAGAGAGAAACTGTGTAAGAGAGACTTCCTTGCTAGCAATTGAGAAGAGAAAACAGAACACTCAGGTTAGTTTGTACCCAGTAAAATGCGGAAGGGAGATGTGGATATGGCAGTTAACTGCTGATATCTAAAGCTTTTCTTTTAGGCAGATAGAGAACTTCTATTTTGGGCACTGATTCCACAGACCTCCTGTGTGTTTGATGTCTGTTTATTAGTATTCCCTTACAAACTTAAAACTATATGTTCTTCTGAGCGCTTTCAAGTATGGATTGTGTCATCATATGTACTTTTACAGTAATTACTACAGGAGCACTTTGGTGCTAAACAGGGCTTCTAGACACTGTCTGTGTTGAAATTGTAATAATCCTGCTCAAGTTGATGACGGACGGCTGTTGGGATGTTTTGGAAGGGTTTCATTATGTACCTGTGAAATGCATTTTAATTGGTTTGTATTGTAGCGTCATGTTTAGTGCAACTGTTTGTAACTTTGGTGCATGCAGATGGGGATGTTTCTCTGATAAAGGCTTTGAGAACTTTGTCCTTTGTTTTCCTGCAGACCTTTGGAACGTTCCAGTGAAGATGTAGATATAATATTCACACGCCTGAAAGAAGTGAAAGCTTTTGAGAAATTTCATCCAAATCTTCTCCAGCAGATATGTCTCTGTGGATATTATGAAAATCTGGAAAAAGGAATCACATGTAAGAGAGCTTCATATGATGATCCGTTTTATGTAGATAAAATTTGTGGTTAGGCTGGGATTGTCTCTAGGAGATTGATGAGAGAGTGCAGTCAGTGGAGTGGCCATAAAAATGTTTACAGCCATAGTCACAGAGAAAGGCAGGACTAAAGTGCTGCTTGCTCTTCAAATACAACGTGTAGTGAATCTATGGTAACAAGGCACACATTGCTGGATTTAGGACTCTGCCACTGTTTTGTTGAAAGATTAGAAGCAAGTCATTGCTTTTAAGCCTCATTCTTCCCCTGTAAATCTGTTGTTGATCTCTTTCATAGGTGCTTTGTGAGGCACATCACAAATAGCGTGTGGTTTGCAGTCACTCTTGATAACACCAGACATTTACAGAGCTGGGTACTGCTTTGGGGTGCAACAGCTCTGTGCCTGCCCTGGCAGCCCATGTGCCGAATGAAAGTGGACAACTGTGCTTGGACTTTGAAGCTGAGATGGAAATAAGTGGTGGTCCTGTGATGGGAATGTTTGAGCTTCCAGGGCTGTACCAGGGGACCTGTGGTTTTTACTAGAGTCTCATGTACCCCTCAGGTAAATCTGGTGTGCTTTAGGCATAGAGTAATAGGGTTTGCATAGAGTAATAGGAATTCTGGTGCTCTGTAATCACACAGTTGGAATGCCTGAACATCAAAGTCCTGCAGTTGCTTCTCAGCCAGAACTCCTACTGAAGTAGGAGTGGACGGACACAGTGGGAGCTATGTCTGCATTGGAAAATTTTGAATTTCAAAGGGACATTTTTCAGAACATGTTTGTTTATTTGTTTGTTTTGTTTATTAACTGTGATAGAAGTAAAAGAGAAGCAAACTTGGGAGAAGAGTGAAGCAATTCTATGTGCTTTCGTTATTTCTGTAGTGTATTGAGCAGTTTACTGAAGTATGTGCTTTCCAGTGTCATTGGAAATATTATTGTAATAGTAAGTAAGTAGTCTGATATGGCAAATTCTATAGTGCCATCAGTATCTACAGTAGTACAGTAATATGAGGGAAAATGTTTGTTAATGTTGCTGAACTTAAAGAAATAGTTCTTATTTACAATATTTCATCTTTCCAGTATTTCGTCAGGGTGATATTGGGACGAACTGGTATGCTGTTCTGACAGGCTCACTGGATGTGAAGGTTTCCGATACAAGCAACCACCAGGTAAAATAGATTTTTCATTGAAACCATCCACGCCAGAAGTACAAAGAAAAGATATGACATATGCTGAGGTAGATAATGACATATTGTACAGATATTTTGTCTTATCACAAGAATGTTCCTTTGAGTCTCCTTTAGTCTCAGTTTGTCTCTAGAGGCAAATCATGCCATTGATTTCAAGAAAACTGAAATGTAATGCTCTGTAGAGGGGTCTACATTTTAATATGAAATAGGATTCGTCTGTGTTTTCAAATAGTGCCATATGAAGTTAAGCTAGTTGATTCATTCCCTGGAAATACTTTAATTCAGTCATTGTTGAGAAAGTTCAGACCAAACCCACCAACAGTGCAGGCTGATAACAGTGTACTGCAGCCTCCACTGCAAGAATGGAAAAGTATTACAGTTGTGGAAGAGTATTGGAATTGCTGCCATGTTAGACCAGAAGCCTGGAGGTAATACCTATGGAGCAGTAAGAAATAAAAGAACAAGTAAAACTCCTCCCAAATTGCAAGCAATTTCTCGGAATCTTGGCGCTCCTGGATTTACAAAATTGGGAATTTAGAGCAAATACAAAAAAAAGGATGAGATATTTCTCCTGGAGAGAGTCTCCTGTCCATGTTGTGTAGTGTCGTACTGGCAAGTCGTGCACTTCCTACTGTGAGCTGAGTCTTCTAGGAAGGCGTCATGTCCAGTTCCCTGCTCCCATGTGTGACATCTGGGATTGTCCCATCACGTAGCACAGCATGGGGTTGTACCTCTGACATGTGACTCATGCCTTGGCGTGAGTGGTATAGCTACCCTGGCCCTGGAGTATAACACTACCCCTTTTTCCCACCTTCACTGAGTATAGCATGCGTGGGGGCAGAGGTTCTTTGTGTATTCTTTGCCCAAAGTTTGGCTGATTGGGGAAGGTTTCTTGCTCACAGCAGACTGGCAGAAACTGGATTTTTCACTTCGCTGACCACAGCATCACCAGTGAAGTTGGGTCAGAATGCAAGTCAAGACAGAGTGTGAGCAACTAGGTCTTTCTATTTCTTGGAGTAAAATGATAGATACAAAAGGAACTTCTTTCATATAATTATTTTTAGCAGCCTCTTCACTGTACTAAGCAGAGACTAATTGAGAGTATAATTAACCTAATTTGAGCAATTCTCAGCATGGCCTGGCTGTCGTTGGTATTGTCACGATTTGGAACAGTACTGGCCTCTTATGTGACGCTTTTCTGTGCAGGTCTAAAGCAATCAGAAATATTTTCCAGAGCTTGCCAAAAGATGGCACTATGCTGTTGTTAAGGTCTAGTGCTCTTGTCTGAATCAGAAAGAAATATAGCCGCAAAAGTGTTCTGGATGTGGAAGTTAAATTAAGAATCTGTCTAGAGTGTTGATTTGTTCCCTTAGATAGAGGATGGAACATTCTAGCCTTTTAAGAAATCTAATGTAAACATTATTTTCTGATTGATCAGGATCACTGCATTTTCCTGTCAACAGGAAACTGCAGAACTAAATTCACATAGTTCTAGTTTTAGAAATTATATTCTGCAGTAAGTTCTTAACCTGACGTTTCCTTCTTACAGGAACAATGAACTGAATTCTTACCACTGCCTAGTTGCCATAGTATACAGCCTCGCTGCCCAAAGGACAGCAGCTTATTCATTTACCGTTCTGGTGCTGGATAAATTGGTGGTTGGGGACTCCTGAATAATATTTGAGTCCAGTATTTTCTCTGGTTTTGCTCCAGCTTGGTGTTTGTACCACGTCCCTCCTTGTCCATCCTTGACGTCCTGCCCTTTGTCCTGCCTTTAGCTCCTGGGCACCCTGTTCCAGTCTTGCCTGTACTTTCTTGTTGGCACGGTGCTGGTCGTTCTTGGTCTTGAAGTACTTGCCAGTGCTCCCTGCCTACTGTGCTCACTACAAACCCAGACGATGGCGGAAGTGCAGTGGAGCTCCATAGGTGGGGCAGCCCTGACAGGCTCAGTTACCAGCGTTGTGCTCTCAGCTAGGAATGCACGGCCAGGGATGCTTGTAACCTACCCTGGAGCATATTTTCTGGTAACAGCACACAGGAGCCAAATCTTCCTTTGCAAAGTCATAGTAATGAGTAATTGCTCCGCTGTTACTATTATACCATAAATAGTACTAGTGCTAGTGAGAAACTTCAGCAGGGCAGAAGAGATATAGAAGTTTACCCAAGTTTACAAGTTTAGAAGTTTGTAGTCTCATGTAGAAGTACGGAAGGACTGTGCCATCTTTTCTAGGAAGAGAGAAGGCGACTTTGTATTTAGGTTCCTATTGGTTAAAAAGTCTGAAGACACCACTAATAATGTTCTACTACTTAAGCTGAGCAGGAGATTGTACTAAATGACCTTCTGAGTGTTCTGAGTTATCCTGTGATTATATGATGATACCTACAGTGTTAATGCAAATATGGAAAATCAATTCTCTTGATTAAAGATATATTAGTACCATTTTTACTAGGTATTTATTTGTCTACCTGGGAACTTAACTTTCAGCAAGCCTTGGAATAAATGTGTGGTAACTACTGTGTGCTAACTCTTTATGCAGCCACCTTCAGCGTGTGGTAGCTTTTTCCCATTAAGAGTGCATTATTGTGTATGTGTTGCTTACTAAAATGTCTGAGTGGCCTTGGCTCCTACAGAGGCTCATAGTTACATTTCTTACACTAGAAATTATATCTAAATGCGCTAATGGATTGAGACTTCAGTGTAGCTAGTGCAGTATTAATTCATACACAGGCTTGCTGCACGTTAGCTTACTTATGCAGACACCTGTGATTTTTCGCAGAAAATGTTGCTAATGCTTGTTAAGACGAAGCTGAAAATTCATATAAACAGAGATATTAACGTTACTTATTATTTGCTATTATGATAAGAGGAAGCATTCCATGCACTCTTTTAAATGTAAAGACAAACACATGTTTAGGATCTCATGGATAAAGCCTCCCTTTCATACTTGTTTGCAGTGTTCTGACTGCTTGCAAAACTGGGTAATGTCACAGGAGGGCAGTGTTACAATACAGAACAAGCTGAGTACAGGCAACATTTAACACTAAAACGGCTAGTTTGAAAATTGTATTCAAATATTTATGATATATCTGGTTTAAAGACTTTGGCCAGAGCAGATTTCTCTGCTATTGTTAGTTCTGTTCCACTGGTAAAATATTCTATCTGCTGCTTATCATAACGGTAATTTCGTTTGCAACTGAAATGGGACAATACACTTTACAATATGGAGATCTGACAGAATTACCTATCCAGTACATCCTGAGTGGTGGCTGGTCTGCTTTCTGCAGAAATTATTTATTACTTTTCTGAGTATTCAACAATTAAGAAGAGACTGAAGAGGACTTTTTTAAGGTAAGGATAAATGTCACACTATGAATTGCAGAGGTAAGTGTAATGACCTGTTTTGGTCTTTCCTTGACTTGTTTATAACAAATACCCTCATAAATATTGTACTTAAAACTCACACAAAGACATAGTAAATCCCCTTGAAAATAAACAGAAAATGCAGCCTGTTTAGAATCTGTCAGAAAGAAGTATTTACCCTCAGTTATGAACAGATTCTAAATTTAGATTTTATTTGGCACTGTTATCTACCCAATGTTACAACTGAGGTGTATAGTACTAAATGTTCCTCTTAGAAATATTCCTAATTTGATTTTGTCTTAAAAAATACTGCTGACTGCTTTGTATATGTTTAATTTTTGAACTCTGTTTTGAAAATGAACAGATTCTGAAGGATGTCTGTTGTAAATGTCTCAGAATAAAGCTGGGAATAAATGCATTATAACAAAAGCATCAGTGTGACATCTTTGTCAGATTCTGCCACACTGTGTTTTACTGAATTAGATTCAGAGCCTTTTACATCAGATGATTAAGATTTATATTTCGATGTGATAAAACAGGAAGAAATGAAGAGAAAGGCAAAGACCAAATAGCAATTTGATCTGCAGTTTTGCAGTGGTCTGCCAGCTGAATCATAGTGTGCACTGGAGGCTGTTGCAAGTTTATCTTCCCTGTGTTTTAGTGACCTTTTTTTTTGGCATGGACCAGGTTTTAAGAACAAGCCAAACTGAACACAGGGCAATTACTTTAAAAACAATGAGCCTTTTTCAGAAAAACTTTAGAGGAGGAGCTGTGGGTGCTTGGGTGGTACAGCAATCAGTTGTAGCAATATGCAGAGAACTGGGAATCAAAAGTCAAATAAATTTAGTGTGCTTGCTGAGGAGAAGAAGGTTCAGATGTCCATGTAAGAAAAGGAAGAATTTCCTGGCTGTTTGCAGCTGAGGACAAAGGAGATATGTGATGAGGTGAAGTGGAAACAAGGAAAGGAATTTAAACAGGATAGTCCTTGCAATACTGCTTTCTGCATGTAACTACCATTATGTATGCATTTAAATAGCCATTACGTACTTTGGAGATAACTTACGTGAAATTGTGGCATAAGTTACTACAGTAATGTGTGGTGTAGTGTAAATATGCCCGAGATAGGTTTAAATTTTTTTAGTTTGAGCATGAAAACTGCTCTATCCATTGTAAAACAGAGGTTGGCTGCACTAAGGTACTCAGCTGAGAAGCAGGTTGTGTTGACCCATGCCGAGCTCCACAGTGTTGTGGTTGTATTAATTTTGATTTCGAACTTCACTTGGTCAAAGTTCATATAGAAAAATCGTTTCACTTCTGCCTGCCATGTAACCTAGGAAAAAGTCCAAGACATTGCAGGTAGCTTCTAGAAAATCAGATAGAAAGGTAGGGAGATAATGAGTGTTATTACAGTACAGTTAATTTGATCTGGAAATATTCTAATTAGGAACTAGAGGAGAAGTTGGTCCCAGTCTTTCTAGAGTCATAATGCCTCCTGTAAGGGAATCCCCCTTGTCTTGTATGAGGAGGATGGCCTCATATATGTTGGCAAACTGCAATTCTAGCACGGGAAGGTATTTCTGTGTTACTGTTAAAAGAGGTTTGCTAAGGATTTCCTATGTGAATCGCTGAAACCTGCTCCAGTAGGGCACTGGAACAGGAAAATAACTTCAAAGAACAGATAGTTAACTTTCATGTGCATCCTTTGGTTTCTCTGTTACAAAAGGAAATTTTTCTAAGGACAAACTGAACTGTATCCAAGTAATAATAAGCAAGCTTTTCAAAATGCTGGCTTTTGCGGATCTCCAGTAAACATGGAGATGGTATGGAGTCCTGAAGGGATGCAGGTGCAGAGATGAGATAGAGGTACAGGGTGTGGAAAAATGACAAAATAGAAAATAAAAGGAACTAGCTGCATCAGCTCCCTTATAAACTCACAATATTGAATAAACTAAAATTCAAAGGAAATGCTCAATCCCTTTCAACCTAACATTCATAATTTTTGTCCCCTTTTCTTGATCTCTGTTTCAAATGCCATGGTTTTATTTACATATAGTACAAAAATTCTGTTTGCCAGGATGTCAAATAGGAACCTATGTCACAAGTCAGAGGGGAGCATGCAGGGATGTGCCTTGTGATGGTGGGGGAGGGAATAAGGTACATCCTTGTTTCTGATTCTCATCCATTCCATAGAATGGTCTTACAAATTCAATAATGTTTTAGATTGATGGGGAAAGGGGAGGCTTAACAACTCTTTCACTCCATGTGTCTCACCTGGCAGTGAGAGTCATGAAGCTGAATACACAAACAGCGTCTGATTTGAGCGCTACCATTTTATAGTGTGTTCAAAGGACACATAGCAATGGAAACAATCTCATCTTTTTAAGTCTTTAATACTACCTTTTAAATATCTGTGTGAATTTTAGCTGGTTACCAGCAGCTAGAACCCCCTGCTGCTTCTGGGATTGCAGCGGGGAACAGCAAACTGAGTTTTGAGCTGCCAGCAATCCTCCTGAAGTCTCCACTGAACAGCAGGAGATTTTTGAGTGTAAGGTTAACAGGCATAATAGGAAATGCACACCTGGTTCCCCAGGAGGCTGGAGATATATAAACAAGGGGCAGAGAGAGAAAACGGGGCTCTGAAGTCTTGAAGAAGACAGATGGGCTTGCTCCCTAGCTGGCTGTGAAACTGCATCTTTGTGGAGAGCATGATGGCTGGAGAAAAAAAACCTGAAAGAACTTCCACATGATAGAAGCCTGGACTTTTCTTTAATGAACGTAGCTAGGACCATTCCAGCACTTTGACTTAACACCCCACAATGGTAATTTATATCTCAGGCTGAACAGCTGCCTCATCACAAGTCATCTTAGAAGGTGGTTCCTTAACCAACACCCTTTCTCCTCTCTCTTCTGTGTTTAAAGATATATTCTTCAGGGGTTTAAAAAAATAAGAAGAAGATGAAGCGCTTCAAAGGTGTTTATTTTTCTGGAGGCAGGGAAGGGAGTGAGGAAGAAGTTGGAAGATGTAAATATTGCTTATGATTCACTTAATGGAAAAGTTTCTTTTTCTGCCAGGCTATTTGGTCATTCTGCCTTAAAAACATCTTTTATCTGAACTTTCCAAATGAAGTTGAGAATAATGTATTGGAGACTTGGAAATCAAACTTTGTGTGGGCAGTAGGCATGTTTTCTTTCTAGCTCTTTTTAGTGCAGTTGTGACTATAGTAGCATGGATGTAGTGTTTCAGCTGTGAAAAGTAAACATCTTAAGGCAGAGCTTCAGTGTCTTTCAGGCTGGTTGTAGGGACTTCCATTTAGGTGCCTAGGTGCTCATTCCCAAATACTCTTTCTTTAAAAACAGTGCCCATTCATATTTGCCTTCCTTGAAAACTCCTTTCTGACTGTTGGTAAATTCTTCCTGGATCTCTTCTGAGGCATAAATGAATTTTTTTTCCTGAACACATGATTTCATACAGTAGAATCTTTGCAAAACACTTTGCTATGGTTCGGTGAACTGGACTATTATGGGCATTTGTCTTTGTAATGCAATTATAAAACTACTAGCTTCATCTTAAAAACATTTGCGTGTTAGCACTTACTAGATGTGAGACGGGAGAAAAATGCAATTTTAAACACAGAAACTGATGCTGAAATATGCTCAGACATATCTCCTGGATTGTCAGCCACAAGGATGTAGTGGATGGGATGACAAAATCGTCTGCTTTTATTTTTGTAGATATTTTATGAGTCCTACATTTTAGAATTAAACTGCATTTTTAATCTTATGTCAAGCAAAATTGTGGTTTAATATGTTTGTGTGTATTTATCTGTATGCCTATATGATTTCCTTAATAAAGTGCAGGTTGCATGAGTTTAAATTTTTAATGCCATTGCTTTTTTTTTCTAATTACTCAAGAGACAGTCAGTTAAGGCCCGACTTAGACATATGTAAGTGTTCAGCTACAAGCCTGTGCTCAGGAGCATAGTAACTTGTAAGCCCAAAATAGAACATGTCTAAAGATCTCAATTCAGTAAGTTATTTAGTTTTGGTTACTCTAACTTTTTGTCTGCAGTAGTTCATAATTTAGATGGGAGCTATTACAGAGGAGATCCTTGCCAAGTGGGATTGATTTAGACATCTTTCCATCACATGAATAGCATGTGCTTACATAGATTCTTTTGAAGTGGACTTTACTGCATGTTTGAGACGATCCTGAATACCCAATTCCACGTTGTTTTCGACTGTTAATAGTTTTCTTGAAATCCATGACTGATGTGAAAAGAATACATTTTTTTTTTTTAGTCTATGTAGTACTGAATCGGCAGACATCCACTAAAAATGGAGAGATTTACCGGCATTTTCTACAGAAAGGCCAAGAGTTGATTATATGACTGCGTTGCGCACAGACCTTGTACAATAAGGAAATGCATTATAAATACAGAAGATTACTGAGAAAACATAACAGTCAAATTTTCTGTGTGATGAGGGTAGCCTATATAGGGCAGAAATTTATATTCCAAGATGGCATTTCTGATGCTAGTTACCCTCCGGTTCACCTCTGACATTTCTGAAGGATCTCATCATCACTGCAGTCTTTAGTGGCAGATGAACAGAGGTCATAACTTCCTTCTAAAGGTGAAGGTGACTCTTGTGTTCTCTGCTTTGCAGCCAGAAGTGTCTGATTCAGCACATGGTCATAGAAAACAGAACTCCTGCATGCTTCCACCCTGAGGCTTCCCCAGCCTGTTGATGGTTTTGTTGGCACTTTTAATTAATTTTCTTTTCAAGTAAATTGCTGAAGAATCTTAAGGCACTGCTACTACCCAACGTGGCATAAAGACTTAAAACACCCTGGAATATTTAATATCTGTCCTTTTATTTTCAATTCAAAGGATGCTGTGACAATATGCACTCTGGGAATAGGAACCGCTTTTGGAGAGTCCATTCTGGATAACACTCCTCGCCATGCAACCATCGTTACCAGAGAATATAGCGAGCTCCTTCGGATTGAGCAGAAGGACTTTAAAGCACTTTGGGAGGTAAATTCAGATTTATTTTCAGTTTATGCAGAAAAAAATGATTGAACTTTTAAAGTGTTTTTAATGAGCGCTTTTATACCATAAGCAAAGTAATAATTCTTTTGAATTGATTTAGACAAAAAGGAAAGTATTTTTTCTGCTTTTTAGTGCTTCATATTCTGCATGATTACATACTCCTGTATTTCTTTCTTGTGGGCAGCTTCTAATTAAATAATTTAGGTAAGATTCCTTTTGAAATTATTTGTGTACTGCAGGTGTTGATTTCTTAGCCTTAAACTTGCTTTGACTGCCAGCATTTCTGAGGAGAGTCTGTCCTATTAAGGACAGACTCTCCTTATAGAAAGTATGCTCTGATACGTTAAATTAGTCTCCTTTACTCCTATCTCACCACCATCTGTAAGGGGGTTTAGAATTTGCAGATGGATCAAAGTAACTTAAAAATTCAATTACTGATAACATGTGAATTCCCTTAAAACTTCTCTTTGTGGAGAAGGTACTGCCAAGGTTCTTCATTCTATAATCTGTGTGTGCTTTGGCATCCGTCCTGAGAAGACTTCGTTAACGTGTTAATGTGCTAATTTACTGAACTTCAATCAGCATTTTTGTGAGCATGACAATTGATTTGAAAAGTGCTTGGGGAACTGGAAGCCATGCTGTTGACCTGGCCTACACTATCGCCATTTGTACTGCCAACTTGTTTTAAAATGGTGACTGTTCAAATGTAGGTGTTGTGTGGAGCTGTCAGATGGTGTGACAGTTTTCCGGAGTTGTAGATCCAAGGACACTTAACTGTATTAAAAGAACAGATGCTGGTTATAGCATTTCAGTTCAGTTTCTCTCTTACGTGCAGTCATATAGGGTTTTTTCGGCTTTCTCCTTCCTGAGAAGGAGCAGTACTGTACTCCAAATAATTGTCCTACAGCAGTACTAAAGTAAGGGTATTCAAAAGAAAATCAAATCCACAACTGTCTCCACTGACTGAGAAAACAGCACCAATATCACCTGTCTGCAGTTGTGTTGTCTGGAGCATAGTTAGTGGTGCAGCGTGACCAAAGCCTGCAAGACCCGACGTGTGAATGAAACGTGCTTGCTGTTGAATGCACTGACAGTATCAGATCTCATTCTTTGAATTGCATAGCCATAATTTGTATTTTTTTTGCACTGTCTATAGCTAAATAAAATGCTCATAAAGTCTCATAACAAATTTGAAGAAATTCATGATGCAGTATATTTCTGTAGTTGATGCTTTTTTCTCTAAAGGAGCTGCACTATAGTTTTAGGCCCTGGCATTAAAAGATTAAATATGCCAGTTGTCTCATCTGTTTTAACATATGCTACACTTGGTAACGGTCAGAAAATTGTAATGTAGATAGTGCTTTACAAGCACTATGGAGGAGAATTAGTCCAATTGTAAGTTTCTCAAGTAACTTTTTTTTCAATTCACTTTTAATTGGTATAAGCAGAGTCAGTTCTTCTTGTTAAGCGTTCTGAGACTGTTGGTTTCCTATCAGAAATGCCGGGGGAGTGGAGGTTAAATTCCCTTGCTAAAAAATTTGAAGATTAAAACATATTTAAAGTTGTTTTAAAACAAAAAAGGCAATGTCATTTGCTCTTCAATCACTAATACATAGTTGTTTCTATCAGTTTTGTTGATTTTGGTGAGTTATTTGATAGATGCTTTTGAAAAAGTCACGTGTGTTGAAGGTGATGGGAACTGTCATAGGAAGCCTTAGCTCTCATGTTGTATATTGCAGATTTTATGAAATTGTGCAGTAGAGCCTGTCACAGATGCTGCAGGTGTCAGTCACAAACCACAAGTTGCCTTTGTGGTGCTTCTTTGCCTTTTGTGCAGATTTACAGTGAACTTTTTGTGTGTTTTGGTGTGCTTTCTTTCGAGGAGGCTATTCCTGTGCTCTTCGTAAGTTGAAAATTACACCATGAAGTACAGTTTTGCTGGTTAGTCTGAGATAGGATTAAGTTGTTTGTTTTTTTCAAGGCGGTATTTGTTTCCTTGCAATCTACTAATTCCAAAGCCTGCATAAACTGCAGCTGAAGTATGAGAAACAAAGAATGTTCAAAACACACAGAAAATGATTTAAGAAAATTCCCCCACATACAAAATTATACTAGCAATAGCAGCAGTATATATTATGGTTATTGTTAGCATTACTACTATTATTATTACTACTACTACTAATGCTATTATTATTACTGTTATTGTTATCTGAAGAAAAGTAAATACTTGTATTCAGGGAAACTTTTTGTTATGTTATGGATGCTTATCCTAAGATTGATTTATCTTTGCTGTGACAAAGCCCATATGAGGAAACAGGTATTGATACAATGATGTGCCATTTAGATAATGTTTTTTATTTATTTTTGAGGAAAACCCACACAAAGTTAAGAATGGATCACAGATATTTATTATCCGTGGTACCATGGGAGAAATAGGAGAAGGCAACAATGTCAGTGTCATTATGGTCAAAGTATGTAAGAAACTAAAATCAAGCAAATACAAATTTCAACTCTTCGGACAGTGAGAATTTAATTCCAGAAGGAAGTACTTTCTCCATTAAAAAAGCTGAATAATTCCAAAATAGTATAATACTGTAGTTTAAAAACAATGTAAATAAACTGTAGTGTTGGAATTCTTAAAATGATTTTATGAATGTAGGATTTTTGTAGTTAGTAATAGAAGTGCAAAAAGTAAATTTTGCATAGGATTATTTTTTTTTCTCCATGAAATTTGGAAAATTAACCAATATACATTGATTTAGTATAGACTTTAATTTACTGTGCAACTAATCTGAAATAATATGGCTAAGAGTTATGAGCTATCTTCCTTTATAGTAAAAATTGTTAAAACTGAAACCTAATGATGAGGTTCATGTTTGCAACAAATGTTTTTTTACCACAAATCTCTGCAGTTCTTTGAAAGACAAATAAAGATCCATTTATACTACTTATGAAACATTTAGTGTAAATCCTGTTACTAGTAGGATTTTAAAAGAGAGAAAGATATGATACCTATCTATTTTAATTCTTTCTGAGTTTTGAAAGCGTTTTCAAAATCTCTCTAACTTGATATTATGAATCTGATGATTTTTCTGAGGTCTGCTTAAATTAAAAAGTAACTTTTCCTATATTAGCTGTATTGATCTAAGAAACAGTTGTATTATACAATGTTTCACAGAGCAGATGTGGCATATTAACATATTTAAGGCACAATATATAACAAAGTCTATCAATTTATTTGAGTAAAATTACTATTGTGTCTATACCTGGAAGAAAGAGATTGCTGTTTCTAAACGGACTTTTTTTCTTCTGTCAGTTTTGTAAGCTTAAATACTCTTTGAAGAAAAGATTTTATATTATTTAAAAGAAATACAATAAGGTGCCTTCTAGAATACACACAATTGCATATTAAATCAACCCTTTAATACAGAAAGTCTTTCTATGACCTCCATTTCTAACAGTCAGGGAATGCTAATCCAAACTACCGATACTGTTCTGATAACAACAATTCCCAGTTAAAATGCCCTGGTCTTTTCTCTGATGACGGTGTTTGTTGAAGTAGCATCCTGTTCGGAAACATCTGTTGAACTTCTAAGCTTACTCATCCTTGGAGACTTGTTTTCTGCCAATGGCTGCCATAGCAGACTGGAGATGATGACACCTCTGGTTAGGCTGTCACACAGCCAAACGCTATTCCCTCTGGGAGGCTGTGGGAATCACTGGTGACTTGTGTTTGGGCATCAATTGTCCTTGGCCTTCATCTCTGAGGAGCACTAACAGAAAACCCCAAAAAAAGTTCCTCATCACTGTTACGACACTGTAGGCTTCCAAGGTGCTCTATGAATTTGTAGAAAGAGGTACTCTCATGTTGATAGGAACTTGCTTTCCCTTTTTAATATCACCATTTGGGTGCGGTGCTACTTACCTTGCCCAAAAAACTGTTTCAAAGCACAGAGGAAAATAGATCCAAAAATAAACATGAAAGCAGAATGCTGCACACGAGGAGCTCTGTTCACATCCTGTTGCTTCACTGGCTTGCTCCGTCCCTGACATTTGGATTCTTTTAAACAGAGTAGGAGTGAAATTAATGTATTCGAGCAGTGTTATCATTACAGAAGTTTTCTGTAGTTCATCCTCAAGCTTTGTCCTTTCGTACAGTTGCAAACTGATTCAAACCCAGACAGGAAGGGAGTGAATCTGCTGAGAGGTGACTTATTTTTAGAGGTCTTTCCTACCACAGTGGATTACTCAGCCTTCCTTGGATAACACACAAATAACCAATTTCCTTTTGTGTGGAATAAGATTATGTTAGAACTTACTGAACATGCCTTGAGAAACGTTTGATCTCGAATAAATGAAGAACAGCTATTACTTCATCATGCAGTAACTTTGGAGAGAGGGACTCTTGGGCCCTATAAGGTCAGAATGAATATTTTAATTCTTTTTTATTCACATTCAGCAGCACTTAACGCATCTTGTAGCCTGATAAACAGTAGCGTAACTTGCTTCCTGCTTTTGCCCATCCGATGATAATTCACTAGCGCTCAGCAGATTTCACTGCTCTGAAATTAGAGCTTTGGGAGAAGCAACTTTCTTACTGTCTTACACTGTGAGTGTTAGTTTTTGATGAGCTAGTTTAAAAACGTATCCTCTACCAGAGCAGAAGAAATTCCACATAACCTTTCAGTGGAATACTATGTAGAAATATGCATAAGAAATGGCATGCTGACTTAAATATTGTAGCATTGTTCAGTGAAATTGCTGAATAAAGCTTAAGTTCATCTGAATTGAGACCACAGTTCTCAGTGCATTTGTTTGTAATATCAGTTTGTCTTTTTAAGGGATATCTAATCATAGCCCTTGTATAGAGATACAATGTAATCTTATGCCTCATTTTATGTGTCAGGATTATGGCAGTAGGAATTATGAAGGCACTGTAAAAATACATTAATGAAAATAAACATGTAAGGATTTTCATTTGTGTTACACAAATTGGCCATGCTCTAGGTACTTTTTTATCAAAGTACGCTGCTAAATCTGGTATGGTTGTTTTGCAGCATTTCAGAGAGGCAGCCTTTTCTTTGCCTTAGACTGCTGGAAGTTACATGTTACATTGTTACTTGAGAATATTCTTTCTTCTTTCTCTGGCTGACTCCTGAATACTTCAACATGTTTAAGGAGTATTAGGAATCTCATGTAAATGTCAGTACTTTCTAATGTACCTTTTCACCAATGAATATTCCGTACCAGAAATTCTTTCCAGTTCATTTAAGTGAGAGATTAAATTTGATCTGGGAAATAAAATATTGGGAAGGAGAAATCAAACAAAAAATCAGATTCATGTCCAGCACTTAACCTATCAGCTTGGTTTATGGTATGCAACTTCACCACTTTATTGTCCAGTAATCGAATGCAGAAGTCTTTGTTCTGATTTACTGATTTCCCTTAGGCAAAAATAGTAGTGGAGATATAAAAGTATAGTTAATAAAATGCAGAATATTTAGTTTTGCAGCATGAGTGATCATGTGATTTAAAATAGTGAAGTGCTTGGAGACCCACAGAAGTATAAAAAGGTGGTCATGGGACACTCAGCAGTCTTTGCTTCATGTCACACTCTGTATTGACTGCTCAGGGTCTACTTTGCTGTCTCTCTGGTGGGGTTTTATTTGAGAACTATAAAGGTGATCAAATTGTAGTAGCCTGTGTTTGCAGTGCAGCTGGAATACTGTGTGCACCAGCCACTCAAATAGCCACCTTGTCAGAAAAGGGAAGAATTATCCTGTTATCAGATATAATATACAACACAGAAGGAAGACGTGGAAGGATCCAACTGTGTGGAATCTGTTACCTTATTCTGTCTACAAATCCTCAGTTCATGACAAACTCAAATGTGCATGCAAAGAAACAGAGCTAGTGTGAGACGTTGAAAAATGAAGTGATGATAGGCCAGCAGATTTTTCTTCCTAGAGTAACACATGGAAGGAGGAGGAATAGAACAAGTCCTCCTCCCCAGCTTTAGACTATGGCAGTAAACACAGAATCGGTGAGATTTGAGCAAAGCTTTGGAATAACTAACATCTCACCTTCATACCTTCTGTGTTAATACTGATATTTCATGCAAGTGAGTGTCAGGGAAAGATTCCCAAACTGTTATTATACCAAGAAGAAGTGCCAGTTTGTACTCCCAGTTTTGCTTGTGTAAACTGAGCTTGTTTCAAATGAATACAGTTCAATTGCTTGGATACACATGGAGCTAAGTGGGACCAGAGTGTGGTCTTTAGGGCTGCTGTTGTATTGGTTTTGACCATCCTTGTGAGTTTTTTCTCTTGTTTTGCTTTGACAAACATTGCTAATTTTAGTGAGTGATGTTCTGTCTGGTAGAGCAGATTTAAACAAGTATGGAACAGCATGCGGTCCTCAGTAGCCAGACTTACATTAGAACAACCCATGTTTGTCAGCATAGCAGTGTCTGGTGCTTTCATTCAGGTGCATTAATCACTTAATATTTTTAAAAATTGGATGCAGATTTTGAGAGCACTGTTTGTGACAGTGTATCTCCTAAGGTAACATTCCTGGCTGTTGGCAGAAGAACTAGAACTAGCAGAATTAGGAACTAGATTTTTCACTTCAGTAATGCAGCTTTTCTCTTGGCATGTTTATGTACTGATGGAAGTTGACGAGTCTTTTGATACACTCTTGCTATGATGCGTTCTTTGCTAAATAATGGAATTATGACTGAAAAGGTCATAATCAATAATTGTCCACTCTGTTTCAGATAATTGGCATGCCATTATGTGTGATATTCAGTATTATCAATGAGGCACAATTTCTGTGGAAGCTCAGGGGATCTGCTTAGTTTTAACTCTGTAAGTTTCCCTTTCTTTGTTGTTGTCCTTGCTTTAAAGTGTTGTGCACAGACACTTGAGACTCCCCTTAAGCGACAGAAGACATTGCAAAATTGGAAAGGCCTGGCACTTCCTCATGTCTCCCTGCAGCAAACTTTCCTCGTGCACGTTCTTGTATGTTGTACAATCAGTTTGCACCTCAGACTCCTGGTTGATTCTCAGTCTATCTCAGCAGCAACTTTTTGTGACTGTGTCACCAAACACCACGCAGAGGTGGAATAAGGCTTTGTAGGCCTGGTGTCTCTTAAACCATACTAGCATGTCATTTCTCTGAGGTGCAATTCTCTATCACTGTAGTAATGCCCATCAGCTTGAAGCCCCTGTGGAATCCTGTTATACCAGACACCGTGCAAAAATAGTCATTCCTATTTACAGACCTTGTAAATGCTTTTATATTTATTAGCACTTCAAAGAGTCTTAAATTATATTGCAGAAAGCTTGACTTATTTGAGGTTCTTTCTCAAATAAAATGAAATAGAAACATCCAGTGAACATGTCAGTCTTCCTGTTAAGTAATGCCTTTATTGGTTTTCTCATATTTTACCATGCTTAGAGGTAACATTGAA